CACACCAAGATTTCGTAGATTGAACCGAACAGCTGAGGAAAGGGACCCTATACTCTTTGCAACTGCAAGAAATTGTGAGACATCCAGTCCTTAATGGCATTTAGACAGTTATGTAACACAGATAAGCTATCAGGGTTATCAGGTTTAAAAGAGACATAGAGTTTAATATCATCAGCGTAACAGCGGTAGGAAATATTACTGAATTTGCTGATAACCTGACCCAAGGGAAGTCATATCTTCGCCTTATATAACTGCAAACAGCTGGCTGAAAACATCGGAGATGAGGGGATCTGAAAATAAAGGAAGCCAGTAGATGTGAGGGTACTGGTGATGCAGATCAAGAAAGAGAGTGAAACATATGTTTCTCATTTTACAGATGTGCCCCCCAGTGAAAAGCTTCTAACTCTGCCCCTGAACAGTGAATCCTCCACACTGATTCACACACTGCAGAGTCTCTCTCCACCACAAACTCATCCCATTAACCTGCAGCTAGAGCAGAGCTTAGGAAGCAGGCAATCATACTCAGCACTTTTAATTACAAGGAGGAAGAACAAGAAGTAGGTGGGCACAGCCAGATTTACATCGGGGGGCTTAGATTTAAGCTAATTTCTGCCCCTGAACCACACAAAGAACAGTGGATTATATAAGTGGCTTACAGAAGGCTTCAGGAGCATTGGGAAATCCAAATGAAGTGTTATTATACAATATCCAGTCCACTAACAGTGCTCTGGTCATAGGGGGGGATACCTTCAGGACAAGGTCTCTTTTTAAGGACATAGTCACAGCTATGGGTGCACTGGTATTAGTTTGCTACTTTTCTTCAGTGAACGACCGGAACACTTCCACCAGTGTGTGTTAGCAATCCGTTGCACACATTCAGCAGTTGGATATTGAGACATATCCACATATACCTGAGTCTTGCTTGTGTCCACCTGGTGAATGTTAAATCCAATATTTAGCTTCTGGGGAAAGGAAGCTGTTTATGAATAAAAAACAGGGAAAAAACAACAGACCAGAATACTGTTTTTGTACAGTTTTATTTTTTCATTGTTCAGAGTTGTTGGAAATCGTCAAAATGACATAAAACAGATAAATGATGGCTCTGACGGCCTTATCCTGGACTGTACCAAGTGTGAACCCCCCTAACAGAAATGTGTTCTGCTTGTTGGTGGTCATTCCAAAGAGTGAAATGATTATTTCGTACCAAAGGTTTCAATGTAATTGTTCTAAGGTCTATCAGTATCTGTAACACTGAGTTAAGTCAGGCGTCTGTCTGTTTCCTGTAGAGGCGATGTGAGCTTTTAATCTGGAAACAGTAGAGATTCTCTTGGCAGGAAAGGAAAAGGCCACAGATCTGTCCAATCATGGATAGATCAGGAGACGATGGGCTCCAGGACCCATACATGACAGATAAACCCCCCCCCCCACCCACCCACCACCACGACATAAGACCAACACCGACTGAAACTGAGATTTTCTGAACATCAGATCGCTATTCACAATAAGAATCTTGCAATGACCTTTCTTTATGATAAGGCTGATCAAGGATCAAAAAGAGTTTGCATGTTGTGTATGCAAACTATGTCCTGATTTTTTATTTAACGATTTATCCAAAGTAACATTGTCAAACTCATTTGGTACAAGATAAATCATCTGAATACTGTTCTGTCCAATCCACCACATCATCAGCATCTAGGCAGAGTCCATTAAATGGTTAAAGTAACATTAAACCACGATTTAAAGGACATTTTAGAGAATAATTATTGTGGTTCTACCTGACAGACGTCTGGGAATCTTATTTAGTGTTATTCAGTGTTTTTGTAGAGGATCATAAGCATGATGGTCTGTGTTCGATGGCTCTTCAGCTGCAGGGCTGCAACTATTGGTTGATTTGAAAAACTGAATCTGCAAATATTCTACCTATTCAACAAACATGCCAATCCTACTGCTTTTACATTTTTATATTATTCAAAGCTGAGTTACTTTGTGTTGTTGGATACACCAAACAGCATGGGATGTTTTCACAGTTTTTTGCTATTTCACAAAGACAGTAATAAGCAGATTATCTGATAATCAAAATTCTTGTTAGTTGCAGCCACCTGCTGCTCAAAATGTTGCCATAATTCATTAAAGTAGTCTTGACTTTTGAAAATGTTTAACACCAGGGGTTACACTGCTGGAAGAAAACGGTAGTAACGGCTAACAGGATAAATCAAAGTTATAGTTTGACAGCTGTTTTGGAAAAGTTTCATTTACACTGCAGGTTTTATTCTGCCGCTGGAATGTAGAGCAGGAACCTGCTGTTGGTGGAACCTTTGGCTCTTGCAGGTTTTAACCTGTGACGTTTTTTTCTGGCAGCAGGATAACAAGTCCAAAACTAACACTCACATGTTGATGTCCAAATCAAAAGGTCATTCAGACTTTGATCAATTGTAAAAATAACTGTGAGTCTGTAAACAAAGGCTTAAACAGATTATTGTCTTTTTTTTTTCTAACACATTTTGTAAAATAGAAGGCAGAAAACAACAGCATTGTACCATCATAGAATGTATCTGTCTCATTCTTATGAAAATAGGATTAAGATATATTTCCTATCGTACACAAGCACCCTTCATGTATTGTCACTTATTCAGGATTGAAACAACTCATTCATTATTTTTCCTCTTCATGTTGAACGTACCATATAAAAAGGTTGACATGCACATTCTCTCCTCCAGCCCGTAGACAGGAACGTCCCACAGCCGCAGATGAAGCGTGTTTGGCAGAGTGGATTATGGGTTAAAAGCATATTCATCCTTGTGTTAACCTAATTTGTGCAAGAAGCTGAGATTCCTTCCTTTTAGCTTGTTGAAATCTTATTTGTTTTATAAGGAGAAAAGGAGTGTTTTTAAGCTAAAGCTCATTTACTACTGTCTATCAATTTGAAACAGGATGTGACTATTTTCTGGAGAAGACTCAATTAATAACAGCTCTGACAAGAAAATGCTTACAATTGGGTATCTCTGGCTACATCCATTTTGATCAATTTTCTATTTTGAGTCAATTGTTTTTGTAGGAGTGCAATACTCCTCTACTCAGCGGAGTCATGCTCATATCTTTTTGACCAAAAAACTGCGATCCGATTCTCAGACTCAGATCTGTCCTCTCTCAGGACCCAGCCTCTCAGGCAGCAGTCATAAGGTTTATCACCAGAGAACCTTGACCTGAGAGCGACTTTGAGCCCTGCAGGTACCTGTACTCTGGAAACACTCCACACTCTCAGAGCTGTGTATTATTTACAAACCTAATAAATAAAGGAGAGTAAAATAAGAAGCTGCTTACTTCTGAAAAACTCCAAACTGTCCAAACTCGTCCCATCAATGGCTCTGGGGCCTCCAGCCATTCCTTATAATAATTCATATTAATATTCTCACATCTCACACTGCAGACACCACAATGTACCAAACATCATCTCTCTCTGTCGAAAAGTACAGAAGGTAAACTTACAATCAACTTAAATCCCAACATTCCCCCCGTGAGAAAATAATACATAGATTTACCCAACACACACAAGCACGCATAAATGTTGATTTGATAAAAGACAGTGATCAAATTAAAACAAATCAACAAATGCACTTTTAAATGAGAGAAAACAACGAATCCCATAGATGCATGAAAGGAAGCCAAAGCCTTAGCTCACACACAAAAACATACACACATAAGAAATAAACAGATTTAAAAAAGAAAACACCTCCCATGAGTCTTTGGGCTCTGCTGACTCTCCAGTATTGGCTTGTCAGCGACGACATATCTTGATCACTGATGATATCATTCAGTTCGCCCCCCCGGCGTCCTGATCAGAGTCCAGTGGAGTGTCTTGTAAAAAAGTAACTGGAAGAAAATACCCTTCTTTCCCCTATGAGGGTATGTATAAGGGTCAAAGGTCATGGGTGAAGGAGCAGTCGGTGCAGGCGACAAAAGACATGTTGTCACCTTGAGACAAAAGAAGGGAGAGAAGACTGCTGTCATGTGACCCAGATAGCAGCCACTGCTACCCTCCTGTGTACCAAGAGGAGAAGAAAAAGAGAA